TAATATTTTTTATGCAAAAAGGTAAATAGGTACCTACGTAGCTACTTAAAGTGGACTATTATTCTTAATGTAGAAGTCGATATCAGTCGATAGTGTAACGTGATCGTTTGACTAAACCGCGAAACTCGATCCGCTCTAGTTTGGCTTCATTTCGCTTCACCGGGCCGCGCCGATCGCCAACGCACGGCGAATGACCCTAAATTGTCGAACAATATTATAGTACACATTTCGTTCTATTTCCTTTTAACCGACTTCAAAAAAGGAGGAGGTTCTCAATTCGACTGTATGTTCTTTTTTTTTGTATGTATGTTACGCGATAACTCCGGTATTTGTGAACCGATTTTCATGATTCTTTTTTGTTTGAAAGGGGGTGCTTCCATAGTGATCCCATTTCATTTTGAAAAAAGTCATCCACCTCGAAGGGTGGCTGTTCACGCATGAAGATTCATTTTTACAAATAACGCCTAACTTTAATTTCGGAGCAATTACTTTAATGGTTGATTTTGCTATTTCTCCAATTCAAGGCGTTTCTCTCTCAATTGAGTAGTGAAAACCGATTTTTATTATCTCCAATGTCAAGTCCTGTATAGTGGCGAATTAGGGGATATTTCAATAAAACTTATCAAATAGACGTAATTCCACGTACTTTTGAGGTCGGTCTTTTAGTACTCTGTACTGAGATTATATCATACCAAGTGGCGGAAAGAACACGACGTGCGCTTGGTAGTAAGCACTCGTCACCCTGAAACATGAGTTAACAAGTCCCATGTGCAATTTCACCAGCACCCTTCAAAACCGGAACGCAGTAATGCTCACATTACTACTTGGCGGCAGAAATACGTAAGGTGGCAGTACTTCCCTGGACGAAATCTTTCATAAGGAACTCCATTGCTACTTAAATGTCTCCCGGGTATCTGAAATAGCGTTTCTGCTTTGTCAGGTCCCAGGCTAAGCCCTGTCGCTCTCTCGTTAGGTCCCAGTTATCTTTTCCGTTCTTAAATTTCGGTTTCTATTATCACTTCTTCACTATAATCCATCGAGTATATAACCAGAAATTGAGACGAAATAATGGCTATATATTCCTGGTAACACATTAGCGATACAGCTCTTATAAATATCAACTCTCGTTTGCACTGAATATAGACAGGCCAACTACTGACCTGTGTGTACGTCTTCGTATATTCCAAAAAATATTCTGCATTTATTGTAATAAAGATAATATCTCTAACAATGCCGTGCTGTTCTATTCGGTGGTGTGGAAAAAATATCTAATTACAAAACAAACGGAATCACATTTCATCGGTAATTAAATGTTAAAAATGTAATTTTGCAATTTTCGTCCATTATAGCACAGATCGAGTTAACTGGTCGATTTGAAGTGAAACAGTTGACACCCATTGACGACATCCGTCAATTGTTTCGAACTCGGGTTAGCCAATCGGAGTGCAGTTGTCACAGTAATGATATGGCAGAATAGTTTTCAAACAAATTAAATGACATTTCGTCTCTATTTCTGGTTATATACTCAATGCTATAATCATATAGTATATAGTATAGGGGCTTACACACCATGGAGCATGGGTTCGATCCCCGGCCGGGTCAATGTAGAAACTTTACTACATTATATCTGGATGTTTATGGTACCTTCGTTGTTTCCGATTTCATAACACAAGCGCTTTAGTTAATTACCTTGGGACCAGAGCAAAGTATGTTGTCTAATATTTGATTTAATTTGTTACTTTATTTGAGTATACACATTTCAATACAATTAATAGCGACATCTCCAGTCAGGGCTGGTAGTTGTAAAGTTACCTAACTGGATGACGAAATACTTTCACAGATTTGTAATAGATGGCGCTACGGCTAAAAAGTCCTTGAAAACCAAATACAAATTAATTTATAGTTTTCCTCCACTAAACTTTTTTCCTTTACTAAATCGTTATCTATTTTCAAAACGAGAGTGAGAGATCATTATTTATCCACTATTCCATCTATTTCTTAGTTATAATGGAATGGATCACGTCAAAGTAAATGTAGTGTAGGACGCCCTGCGGCAAGATGGAGGGACAATCTGTGGATGTTGGCGGGCAATGGTGAGTTGACAAGTTCAAGGTGTACCAGTGGATAAGCCGATATGACGTATCGAAAATATTAACCTAACAAATTATTTCCTTCACGGCAGGTACAACTGAATATCAACGTAAGTTCGTTACATTCCACGTGGCGCCACTGTGGTAGAGTATCAGATATCCAATCGCAACGCAATACTGATCTTTTACCGGCAACATACTAATATCGTATACCCTTTTTACACTAATATAAAACGCGCAAGGATTTATTCCTTTTCCAAATGTGTTTATTTATTTATTTTCATAAGGAATGTCAACAGCATGTGTATTATTACAATACATTCAAACAACTTAAAACTAAAGAGAACAAACTCCGATACAGAAGCCAATTACAGACGTAGGTACACAACATTCAATAAACCTACTTATGTCTCTATGAATAGTAATTAAAAGAAGAAAAAATAAACTAAATTTAAGTCAAATCATCAAACCCAAAAAGAAGATTATAAAAGCATAACAATCACACAATAAATCAGGTACGCTCGCAGATAATATAAAAGATATTGGTGAAATTACAGGCATATGGGACTTGTCAATTTATGTCTCAGGGTGACGGGCGCAGTGGTAGTGCCACTCAGATGTTTGCAATTTAAAGCTCTGAGTGGCACTGTAAACTGTTATACACAGGCGTGTAGGTTAGCATCAGGCGCACGACTTGTTCACCCCGTCACCTATATATATATACACACACATGTATATGTAATATATGTATTTTAAAATGGCAAATTTGTACTTTGCAAGGGAATAAAAAGAAAATGTCTAGATTAGGTATAGCACCATTAAGTTAATTATAAGTGCAGCAAACACGACACACAGGGGCATGTTTGACAAATTGGTTCTGCAAAGCGGTGGATGGAACAACCGAGTGATGGGCTTCCCGATTAAGTTATACGAAACCGAAAGTGGAACACGAGGAAGCAACTCCTCGCACTTCAAAGTTCCGTTGATACATTTGCGCAAAAATAATAAATGCATCATGCAACCTAAGACGATCTCGTATGCGTTATAATAGTTTTCTATATATTTTTTTTGTTTAAATTTCCAATATTTATTATAGTTGGGGTTCCAAGCAGTGGATGCATACTCTAAGTTGGATCTTATAAATGCAATGTATAACAATATAAGAGTGTCAGGGTTCTTAAAATCGCTACATTGTCTAAATATAAAATCCAGTAATTTAAAAGCCTTGCTGGTATTTTTTTGTAGTGAGAAGTAAATGTTAACTTACTATCCAGATGCACCCTTAGATCTCTCACCTCGGATACTCTTTGAAGTTTCTGATTATTAAGATATTAATTATGAACTATTTATTGGATTAGATTTTTTTAGTATATGAAATTGTACAGCATTTTTCAATATTAAGATATAGTTTATTTTTAATACAGTAATCGCTTAAGTTATCTAAATCATTCTGTGAATTTAAACAATCCTGGTTTGATTTAATAACATTAAAAAATTTTGTATCGTCAGCAAATAGGAGTAGTTTTGAATTTATTAACGTCGTCTATAAAAATATTGAAAAAGAGAGGCCCTAAGTGAGATCCCTGGGGAACACCGGAACTAATAGGGATTAAACTGCAAGTGAACCCTTTGATCGCAATATTAAATGGAACCTCTCTCTGCGCTATAACCAAGGCTTCCACAGTACCAACCAAACAGCGTGAAATCGGTAACTTTATCTAGACTATATTATAGTCTCTACTATATCGCAGTAGAGCTCCTCGTGAAAGAGTTTATCATCATTGCCATCATCGTATCAAGAGTTCGGTCAGGGAAGTACTGCCATCTTACCTATTTCTGTAGCCAAGCAGTAATGTAAGCATTACTGCGTTCCGGTTTTGAAGGGTAAGGATGCTGGTGAAATGGTGAAATTACAGGCACAAGTGACTCAACTTAAGTCTCAGGGTGACGGGCGCGGTGGCAGTGCACCTCAGATTGTTGGGATTTAACACTCTGAGCGGCACTATAACTGTCATGGACCGGCGTGTCGCTTACCACCAGGCGCACGACGCATAAAAAGAACTCCTGGCGGACAGGCGATGGGAATAGTAGAAATTACAAAAAAACTTGACCGCCGTGTGACGGTACGATAAAAATACCGCCTAGCTTATATATACCATTACTTACATGTAAGGTCACCTCAAATTGCTTCAGCCAGGCGACATGGCGCTACTATATGTATAAACTTTATCTTGTACAAAAAATTAAAAAGAAGCTGCAGCAAGCAGCGTGGTGCGGCGCCAACTATGCAATATAACAGAACATATTCTCTACATAAATTTAGTATAATCTCAGTACAGAGTACTAAAAAAACCGACCTCAAAAATACGTGGAATTACATATAATTACCAAGTTTTATTGAAATCGGTTACCGGAAAGTGCACACCCGGATTCATTGCCTAGTTCGCCACTATACGGGACTTGACACAGGAGATAATAAAAATCGGTTCTCACCACTCAAAGTATATTGAGAGAAAACGCCTTGAATTAGAGAATAGCAAAATCAACCATTAAAATAATTGCTTCTTATAATAAAATTTAGGCGCTATTTATAAAAATGAATCTTCATGTGTGAACAGCCATCTTTAGAGGTGGATGATTTTCATCAAAATTAAATGGGACCACTATGGAGGTCTTTCCAACAAAAAAAGAATCATGAAAATCGGTTGACAAATAACGGAGTTATCGCGTAACATACATACAAAAAAACACACAGTCGAATTGAGAACCTCCCCTTTTTTGAAGTCGGTTAAAAATAAAATATACATTTCTTTCAATACAAAACAACAAAAGAATAAAAGCGCTGCGACGCTAGGCACATCGCGCAAAATTTTCCTAGACTAAGTTTCTTAATACATTTTCTCCTTCCAGCACCAACACAACAGGCCTGGATAGCATTGGCCGCGGGCCATTGATCAACGGCACCCTCCCGGAGCCCCGCTACTGTCAAAGTCCACCACCCTGCCCGCCGTCGAAGTACAGGAGCCAGGATGGCAGCTGCAACAACCTTAAGAATCCTTGGAGATGGGGCGTCTCTCGTACACCGTTCAGAAGGGTGCTACCACCAGATTACGGTGATGGTAAGAGAAACAACATTTTTAAGAAAATATTCCAATTCTAAGGGCGGCAAATTTTCACCTTCAACTTTCAACCCACTTTTCATTAACCGATGTGAATAAAACTTTTGAAGTCTTTTTTGTAAAAAAAAGTTACAATTATACCGTATGATTGTGGGTTTAGGCTAACATTATTAAATAGAGAGGCTTACTTTTAGATTACTTTTATAATAATATATCTATATAGTAGCAGGTAGATAGATAGAAAAAAAAGTTTATAAATAGAACATTTCATCGAGGTCCGTATCCTGGGGCATCGTGTCTAGCTGGCAACATTTCCTCTTTGAATTGCTAAACTTATTCTTTGGCAGAAATAACTGCCAGTCTTGTGGTCACCGGAGGCTTCTACGAAGCGAACGGACGGATCGCCTCGTCACAGGCGAAGCTTTGTCTGTGGCCCCAAAGGAAACCTGTAGCACTGGGCAAGGTTGGCGTGATTGAGCCTTTTGCGGTTCTCGGCCGTTCTGGCCACAGAGCCTGCGCCGCCCACGCTTGCAAGGACTTGGGGAGGCTACAGTGTCCACACAGGTTGCGTGCTACACTAGCTGTCTCCCTAGCTTCCATAGACCGACAGTCATACCGTCAGGCCTCTTACCATCACTGCGACAGATGCCAGTGCGCTCGAAAACTGCCGGTAGCTCAGCGCTTCGAGTACATGAGAGGCCATGGTCATCAAACTCGTCAACAGCATCACCACACGTGCATTGATGGGGGTGGACTGTTCTTGCCGCCAATCAGAGGCAGACAACTAGTGTGATAGAAAGATCGTCTAATAACGTGCCGATGTTGGCCGAGGGTAGTGCCTGTAGCCAATACCCAGACTCCTTTTCAAAGGAGGCTATGAGACGAGCCCGTTCTCTAAGGTCGCTTGCAGAGCGTATAAGTTCTACCTGAACGATCTTGCAGAGCTGCTCGCCCCACAGCCTTGTTGGTGTGGAAAAGACAGAACATCTATGTCGGGACATTTGGGCGTCCAAGAGTTTCTGGCCTCGGCCAAGCACGACAGCTAAACCTAACCCAAAGAAGGGCTAAGGATGCTACCGTAGAGGCTGCACGTGCTGTGTGCCGAAGAGAGAAAGGCCGGGAGGGCAACAGTAGAAACTTTCCTAACTCCTGACTCACCGAAACGGACTGGGAGTAAAGCTTGGAGCCAGGAGGTCATTCAAAGGACATTACTTTTATTTGACAACTTAATTCATTTCTTTATAATGGCTCCATCGATTTTCACGATGATTCTGCCAATGTCGTCTGACATCTTAATTATAATGATCACAACATTTCAAGCTTAGACTATGGAAACCAAAGGACATGTTATATTGAGATATCGACGCCGGAAAGCGATCTTGTCGTATCTCGAAAAATAGCACTTCACACCCGGGCCGAAAAACTATTTAAAAATATTATTTCTCTTTAATTTGAATTAGTAGAAAGTCAATTTTAAAGTATGATGTATATAATCACACTTTAAAATTGACTTTCTACTAATTCAAAACAAAATGCCTAAATAAAATTCATATAATTATATATATATGAAGCATTTTAGACGGTGAAAACAACCATTTTATTGTCTTTGTTTAACTACTGCGTGCCGTCGTAAGTCAAAAGAGATAGCACTACATTGATTTATTTCAAACACGGGATTCGGAAATACGTAACGTCATCTTAAATGCCAACTGTCTTCATTTTACCATTTTTGGAGTACCCTTTGACATCCGTATCCAGTTGTCAAAGGGAAGTACATCAAATGTCAAAACCAATGTTTGGCCAAATGTTTTGTGAATTATTCGCATGAATAGTAATAAATTGACAAAAATATTGACAGTGATAAAATGCGTCGCTCCAGCATTAAGGGGTGCGGCTGTAGAAAAAGCGGAAATCATACGGATGTTACATTACACGGGCATTGGTTGGAAATTATAGGACTGCCGAACATAAACATTGGATCAAATACCATCTTCGTTTGTTCGCTCCATTCAAATTTAAATAGAACTTTGAATGTAACTAAATTACGTGGTGATGCAATTTCATCGTTACATTTATTGGTAAATAACTTTATATTTAATTTTGATTAAAATGGCTCATTACTTGCCTAGTAATAATAGATTAGTATTAATCATACTTTGAATACAGTAAACTACAAAAATTTGCAAACATGAAACACAGTAACAACAGTTTCAACATTCAAGCCATACATTTGCATGTCGATATTGACTTATCTATCATTATGGTACAACACTAAATCCGCCATTTGTGGTGGATATTTTTGATTTAGGTAGGGACGTTTATTCCGTGGATAAGGCAGCTCCTTTCCTTTATTTTTTTCCGTCCTCTAAGATTTCAAGTGACAAATGGCAAAAACCAAAAAAGGCGCGCAAACCGCGTTATGTTTACGGCTTCGCCCGCCACATATTACTTTAATCAAGGGCACGATATTTCGATAACAACAATGGTGTTGTCTGTTGCAAAAAGAATTCTTTATCTCAGAAAAATGTAATTACCTACTTACATAACATCGGCGCCCCGTTTCATCAAACTTTTGATCTACCGGCGTTATCTCAAAACAAACTGAGAAACATTGTTCGTTTGCGTTGAAACAGATATCATTGTAAATATTTTTTGTATGAGTTATTTTTGGTTACTGCTAAACTACCAAAGAATACCTTACTCGTATACCGAAAGAGACACTTTTTTTTTAAATATAAGAATAGAATGCTTTGAATTCAGCCACACTAACTTCTGTCAAATTAGCATAGTTGAACCGTGTAGACATCATGATCCACGGCAATACGAAAACCATCTCAAGGAGTATGAGGCTTTCTATTAGTCACATGTTGTAGGAGTGCAGGAATTGACCTACTGGGTGCTCCAATGGCAGGAGCATGACTAATATGTCTATATGCTCGTATCGTAACGGCATCGTCTCTAATAAGTACACTGAACTAGGAAATGAAACTATTTTTCCGGATTTAAATCGCGTATATCTGTTTTTTCAAGCAAACCGATTGTTTCGGGCTGTTTACAGGTCCCATGGTCATGGTTGACTAAGGACTCGAATACACTGAACTAGAATAAAAAATATATCAAAATAAAAAAAAGTCAAAATATCTTAATTGAAAGATAGAGGTAAGGTAAGTAAATATAGGCAACATCAACAACAACTGTATAACCGTGTATTTTCGAATTACAGTGTACAATTTTTTTTATGATACCTAACGAAGGTAACAAGTAGTGCGCCTGGTGGTGGTAAGCGACAGCTCTTCTCCGACTCTTAACAGTTGCAGTGCCACTCAGAACTTCAGAACAGATCTGAGAGGCACTGCCACTGTACCCGTCACCCTGAGACATAAATTGACAAGTTTCATGTGCGTATAATTACCATAAAGCCTACCCTTCAAAACCGAAACGCAGAAACATGGCAGTACTTTCCTTGACGCACTCATTCACACGGAGCTCCACTGCTACCTACTATAGATAAAATAGAGTCAGACTAAAATCACCTTATATAAACAACCAAATGCTTCCTCTAAATTAAATTAGTATAGCCATTTATTATAATCACAATTGCAATATCAATATTAATCAACTATAAAAAGCGCCACCTATTTGTCACTAATATTACTATTTAGAATGAAATGACATCTAGCGGCAATAAATAAACTATTTAGGCAATAGCACCGATAATATAATACTATACTACATGGTGCAGATACCCAATCTCGTACAAGGAAATATCGCAGTCGTAACGCCGCTTATCCGCATCCACATTTTGATGCTTAACGCTGATCAATAGATGGTACCAATAAACCACGATGCGATTGTAAGGATATTTGAAGCGACCAACAGATGGCAGCTATTACATTTTTGTCAAATGTGTAGATAAGGAGATTAATAATCGCAAAGGAGCTGAATCTGTATTATTAATATTTTAAAGTAAGAGTCAGTGCTAAAACGTTACTTAGTTACGAGAACAAATTCAAAGAAATGCCATCTATACAATTTATTGCAAACTAACCAATCAAAAAGTGCAGCATTTGGAAACCCTCGACCTGTCGAACGACTGTTTTCACCAATTTTAATAATTTTAAATTAAGTTTATTTGAAATTCATTCCTAAAATGTTGTTTATATAGTTTTACATTTAGTTTTTTTTATGTTTTATACTTCTTATTTAGTGTATAGGAAATTTTCGAGACTCTATACTTATAATATTTTTTATTTACTGATACTTTTTAAATATGTACTAAAGTTAGTTTGAATAAATTAATACCCCATGGTAATAGTTACATTGGTTCCTATTTATTATGCGCTAGAATTTGGTCGATAGGCCGATAACACACATCTTCACTTTATTGCAGGCCTAAGCTCTCCTCGTACCGGCGTGGACGGAGCACCTCTACCAAGCGCGAGAGATGTCAGCGTGACAGTCCACCGCCCGAGCTACGCACACGATTCTTCCTTCACTGTAATGCTTGCAGTGTGGGGACAGTTCATTGACCATGATGTCACAGCTACTGCTCTCAGCAAAGGTATGACCATAGATATAGGAAAATAGGGAAGATTTGGTATGGGGGCGTGGTTCGTGTCGCCTCGATATGTTCAAAATGATCATATGCCACAGTGACATGGCGATCGTTGTACATACAAGATCTCTCGTAAAACGTGAAAATGCCAAGTTGTAGCGATACACCTTGTAAAAATTGGAGTGAAAAATTTTAAAACCAGTGAGATGACATTTCACCGGTTATTGGCATTTTTAGTTACTGTTTCTATTATTATTCAATGTTTTCTTTTCTCTCTTTGTCTCCAAAGAAATTTCTACACTCAAATATAGTGATGTTTATTGACGATGACTGATGTTTATCGACAGCAAATTTTTACTTAAATGTTTGAATTTCTTACATGATTTTTGTAATTAAAGTCCCTAAAATATCGAAGCGAAAAGCTTTCACGTTAAATTGATTTCTCTTATTTTATTATTATTATTAGTACTAAACATTTTATTTCGAGTAACTTTCACACAACTCATATTTCGGTCAACCGTTTCAATTTAATGTCAATTTGTATGTTACTGTTGCAAAAATGTACGTGTATTATTGTTTTAGATAATTTAGATATTTAAATTCCATTATATTTCCATAGCAAATGCATTTAGGTTTATGTTCAGTTTAGGACAGCACAGAACTATCCTCGTTGTTAAAAGAGGCTCGAGCAATTCCTGTCCGGTTATTGATTTCTTGATCAGATTCCTATGTTTCATTTACTCAAGACCCCAAATACTTGTACTATCATATCAGCTCTAGTTGTTTCCCAGCTACAGATATGTTAGGGCTAAAATCCGGAATTCTGGAGGCCACCATGACCTTATGTTATGACTTAAACCTTCCAAATAAACAGTAGGTTGTAATTAAGTTATCCAACTAAACCACGGTACGAATACGAATCTCTCTATGTGCTTGTTGCAGATCTTTGTTTGGGTTTTTCAGCGACTTTTTTGCCGTAGCGCCATCTGTGAAAAATCTGTTTCTTCATTCAGCCAAGTAACTTTACAGCTACCAACAGCTGACTAGAGATATCTCTTTAATTATTGTAATTAAGCTGGCAGGACGTTTCACCGCCATGATGTTCAATTATTTTTTGTGTAATTACTCTACTAGTTTGTTATAATATTAAACAAAGATCGAACACTTACAAAAAATTCACTTCGATCCAGCTGGATTCGAACCAACGTCTCCTAGCAAACCGTGCCAGACGCTACGCCAACTAAGCCACGGAACGAGCCAACGGACCTCACTCAAAAATAGAACACAAAGAACTGTACTACTGTTTAAGTTCTCATTTTAAATTTTTCTTTGTGTTCTATTTTTGAGTCAATAATAATACACGTAATAACAAACTAGTGCAGCATTTTCACAAACAATATTATGAAAATCATAATTAGTACAACAGCAAGATGTTCATTAAATACATATCGCAATTAATGCAGCGATTTCTCGTCAGCTTCTGGTAGCTGCACAGGTACCAGAATGAGTAACCTCATAAGTTTCTCACAGGTGCGCTGACAGTGAAAAAAGGCGAAACATACAAATAAATATATAAAAAAAATTGGTAAGGTCTGCAGCGGTTTAGAGCGTTGGCCCACATAAGTGCCTGGTTCGAGTCCAAGCAAATCGAAGAAATTTGTCTTCGTGTTCTATCTTCATAATATCAATAATAAAATAGTAGGTTCTCACTTGGTAATATCATGCATCAAAATCAATCTCTTAGTTCCGATGGATTGTAGTATGGATAATTTCTGATGCTCAGCAGTTAAAATATCTATCCCCCATCGTCCAATAAGGCTGCTATCAGATTGACTGCATGTTTGCAATGAATGCGTGAAGTCGTAATCATGCAGCCGAGACCAAACGTAAAGTCGTTATCAACTTGATGCCGTCGAGATCTCGGATAACGAATTCATGCTAATTAACCGCATGCAGTCGGAGCCGACTTCATGCAGCCTAGATGAGATGCAGTTAATGCGTGAAATCGTTTCAACTTCATGCAGTCATTACTGCGTGAAGTTGATTACGACTTCATGGATTAATTGCAAACTTGCAGTAAATCAATTAGTAGCCTATGTGTTGCTGTCAAGTTCTATAATCGTACATTTTTATTAAATTCCAGGCGAGAATAGCAGTTCACTATCCTGTTGTGACACGAACCAACCGCCGCATCCAGAATGTTTTCCAGTACCGCTGGACGTCGAAGATCCTTTCTACGAGGATTACAACCTGACTTGCATGGAGTTCGTTCGGTCTGCACCAGCTCCGACGTGCTATTTTGGTTAGTCTTCCTCTTCCGAATTTCTTAGGGTGCCTTCAAATTAGACGCTTACAGAAGCGGTGCAGTGAAACCCACGTGACACAACTGTGTAGCTGCAGCTGCGTTTCTAAATCGATAACTTAATTTTTGGACCTGTTCTGTTTTTATTTTGTATAGCGGGTGCCATGGACACATACTGTCTGTGGTTGTCTATTACCACAAATTACACCCAAACTCACGAGAGAAATAAATGTAGGCCATGCAAATATTTATCCCGGTCCCGTCATCGAACCCGGGACCTCTGCGTGGCAGTCCAGCATGGAAACCGTTCGGACACGCAGGCAGTTAATTTAATTAATTATTTAGGTAATTAGTTTATTTATATTATTTTCGGTTTTTTCCGAACCGAAGGAAACAATAAACAAAATTTTGTTTTTTGTTTCCTTATTTATTTTGCAGAAAATTCGGGGAGCATAATATTAGTAAATAAATATGGCTGTTTATAACAGAAAATGACCAAAAAATAAGGTTGATGTAGTGTTCGCTGGAGGTATCAAAATATGGCATGGAAATTATTAGTGTATATTCTATAAGCATCTAATTTGAAGATGCCCTTAATATTCTCTTGAACTAGAATGTATGAGACTACAAACACATCCTCTTCTATTTGGATCTATATTTCTTATTCTCGACCTGGTCTCAATCTACAAAAATTTTAACACGCAACAATAAAAAAGCAATAACGTTATTTTCTCCAGGACCTCGCGAACAACTAAACCAAGCCACTGCCTTCATCGACGGATCTACAGTGTATGGCTATGCGAAAAACAGAACGCTCCGACTCCGCACTGGGAAAAATGGTTTATTACGAATGTTGCGCGTTGGAACGAGGGAGCTGTTACCGGCTTCGACAGATCCCAATGACGGATGTAACACTGTTGAAATGAACGAGAAGGGGCGATATTGTTTTGAGACTGGTGAGTACCAAAAGCTTTACCTATTAGTAGTAATCGTAGAAATAATTTTATTACAGCAAAAATTAATCATGATTTCCAGGTGACGACCGTGCCAACGAGAACCTCCACCTCACAACAATGCACCTGATATGGGCGCGACAGCACAACCGTATCGCCACAACGCTCAAGAAGCTTAATCCCCTATGGGATGACGAGGTCACCTACCAGGAAGCCAGGAAGATCGTGGCTGCGCAAATGCAGCATATCACTTATGCTGAATTCCTGCCTTCCGTACTCGGTGAGCATTTGCTACTATCTTTTTAACGTCTCCCCAAAAACAACGAACAAGAAGAATTGACGTTGGGAAAATATTATTAAAAATGAAATCGATAAAGCCACAAATTGGCTACAGTGGTGCGTTAATCGTACATTGCGCGCAAATGTGTGTCTTGTGTTGGACATATTAAACACAAGACAGTAGGCAGTAGTACCCGTTGAAGGCACCGTCGTCCCGAATCTGCGGCCTAAGAGCTACTTTGTTTTTATAATACCAAGTGACGGGACGACCAAGTCGTGTGCTTGGTGGTAAGCGACACGCCTGTAACAGTTGCAGTGGCATTCAGAGCTTTAAATCACATAGGTCTTATAGGTACTGCCACTGCGCCCGTCATCCTGAGACATAAGTTGACAAGTCCTATGTGCCTGTAATTGCACCAGCACCCTTACCCTTAAAAACCGGCAGAAATAGGTAAGGTGGCAGTACTTCCCTGTATGGTGAAGCAAATAATTTCGCCTTGTCATCCTTAAACACGCAAATGGTAATAAACTCGTTTTCAGGCGCGGATGTGATGTGGGCCCTGAATTTAACCCTCAAGAACGAGAACTACTCTAACGTGTACGACCCTACAGTGGACCCTTCCATCGCCAACCATTTCGCTGCCTCGGCCTTCCGATTTGCTCACACTTTACTTCCAGTGAGTAACATTTTATTGCTCGACATAGTACAATAAAACAAGTAATCCAACTCTTGCCTGTTCGGAACGCATCAATGTCATTCGGAGCCTAGGGTTGTCACATTGATATTTTACTTGTACCACAACTTGATGATAGTTTGAAAGAAATAAACAGTGTTATCGTGCTATATTGAAACAATTCATTTAAGGGGACTCTTTTAATTAGCAAAAAGACGACGTTCTTTTTTTTAAAAAAAAACAAATGAGTTCATTTCAGTAGCGACTACCGTTGACAAAAGAGTTTTGATTCAGAGCTATAAAGAACGCCTTTGTGATATGGGTTATGAAATTATAATTGACAGATTAATGTCTAAAGTACCCACAGGAGTGCAAAAAATATTTTAAACACCAAGTGAACCTTACAATTCTGTTATGAATGGCACGTAAGACCTGCGCTGTGCGACTTGAGTGCACCGCGAGATTATGTGAACATGTACACGCATTTTCATTTCATTTTTCAGCCATTACTGCCCATTGCAGGGCAAAGGCCTCCCTTCCAGTTAGATATAGACCTCTTCAAAGAGAGTTTGTAGTTATTTTCTTCTTTCTTACCCCTTTGGTGATTTAGTACGACAGATGAAGATGATACTAGTCTAAGATTTGTTAATTACAACCATTATATTAATTATATAGTAGTTATAATAGGTCACCCACCTTTTTAGACACTTATGGAACCGAAAACCACATATCATTCCTCACGACGTCTCATTACTTGCTGTATAAATCTAGAACCCTGACACTGTCAATAAAACTTCTTCCTTCCTGGCAGGGCCTGATGCGCAGCGCTGACCTGGCGAACGGTTCCATCAACTACATACAGCTGCACAAAATGCTGTTCAACCCATACGCGCTGTACACCGACAAAGGCACCAAACTGTCTGTACGTACTGCTATGGAGACGCCAGTGCACAGCGTTGATCCACACGTCACCTCTGAGGTAAGAGATAGAACTCTTAAATAGGAGGGGCAGGTAACCATTCAGAAGATGTAGATAGGTACATTGACACATTCTATAAGAAATTAATAGATTTAGGCGTTAGTTTGCGGAAGTCCATGTAAATAAAAATGGAAGTAAATTAATTTGCTACTCCGCGAACGCAGTGAAGGTTCAATCGCGCAAAATAGCCACGCTTGTGTTAAATATTTTTTCAAGCAGTTTATTTTCCCACCCTCCCTCCGCATAAAATTAATAACACAAGCGCAACTACAGTCACAGACAGCACAACCAAAATTATTAACCGACACGTGTTTCGCCTCTCCACGAGGCATGCTCAGGGCTGTTGATTGCTCGACATTCGGCCGAAGAATGAGCTCGTTTAGAACGGTTGGTGCATGAAAAAATATACAACACAAGCGCAGTTACTCTGCAGCTACTTTAACCTTTACTGGATTCGCTGAGTAGCAAATTAATTTACTTCCATTTACATTCTTTAACACTTCGAAGGCCTGGCAACAAGTTTGTCTTTGGCAAAAGCCTTTAAAAAATCAATAACGAATCTCGTCAATAATCTAGAGAAACTTGATATTTTTCTAACTTTAGTTATTCTTAAGCAATTAATTATGCCTGAACAATCTTTAACAAAACTCAAGTATCTGCTCTTTCCTAGTTAAGTAATCATCTTTTCGAGCATCCAATTCCCGCCAACACATCATCAGCTTCCACGAAGCCTGCACCTTGCGGCCTGGACTTAGTCTCGCTGAACATCCAACGCGGGAGGGATCACGGTTTGCCGCCGTACCCAGCTTGGAGAGAGCTTTGTGGGCTCTCTAGGCCTAAGAACTTTTCTGATCTTAACAGCATCTTCGATGAGCAGTCTATAAACAGGATTTGTCAGATTTACACGTGAGTTTTGAGATTTCTTACACGACTTGTACCACAAACAGTTTGATCTTCGATTAGTTTATAAAGGTGTTCGTAAAGTTATCAGAAAAACGTATATTCGTTTAAAACTTACAGAAATGCGAAAATACCTACCTTGTTTAAACATTCCACTGATATGTCGTTTATTACATAAAATGGATCCAGTTTCAAATGCGACTCTATTACACATTTAAACTAAACTTAGTTTTCTAAGAACGCAACGAATGTTCACAAAAATCAGATCGATCAGAAACACGAATTATCAAAAACCAGTCAATGCCGAAACTTTTCCAAAATAAGTGTGTATTGATGTCAGCGCAACACGTGACTGGAAAGTCCCATTGACTCTGAAGCGAAATAATAAACACCCGTAATATTGACGAGGGTGCAATCAGCGATCGAGACAAGTGTAGGATGTAATTTAGTGCAATAGACGTCATAGGCTAATGACAATATAGAAGATAAAACGCCTTATTTTCCCTGCAACAATAAATAATACAACTGGCCTTACAAATTACCTCAGTATATTGACAATTCTTGCAGTCTTTAAAACTACATCAAGACATTTGAATTGAAATATTATTTATTTGAAATAAAAGTTCACAATCCTGTTTCTGTTCACTTTATTGTTACAATGATACTTACACAAACAAACGTCTTCAAGAAGATTGTAACTGTTGATCAATTTAAATAACTAAACAATCTTTACACTGTAATAGTAACAGTAGAGCTTTTTGTGAAAGAGTTCATCCAGGGAAGTACTATCACCATACATATTTCTGAGGTCAAGCAGTTATGCGAGCATTACTGCAATCCGGTTTTGAAGAGTTAGAATGCTGGTAACACTACAAGCACGTTAGACTTATCAACTATAGACGTATCCTTTAGATTTTTACGATTGAAAGCTTTGCAACTGATACGCAAGACAAGTTGGTTGCGTCACTTTATGTCATAGAAAAAACGTTTAATTGCAGTCACGTCGACGACATAGATCTATACACAGGAGCCCTGGCCGAAGATCCCAAAGGAAGACTTCTAGGGCCGACGCTGACCTGCCTAATTGCTGACCAGTTTCTGAGGCTGAAGATCGGAGACCGTTTCTGGTACGAAAATGACGATCCTGAGGTTGGATTCACTTTAGGTAAATAGTGTATATAATGTACTATTAAAAACATAAGACTTAGGCAGAACAATTCATTAGGATAATCTTCTTTGAAAAGTGTTTACCTATATAAAGCCAGAACATTTCTGATGTTGAATAACTAGTTGGTAGTTACAATATGGCAATGAAATTAGGTAGCAATGAAAGTGAAATACAATATACACACATCAAAAGTGTCTAGGGATCAAGTGAATATTTTTGAAATAAAAATTATTTAAGCAATATTTACCAAATCCAGTCTTCCAGGACGACTTCTTACTTTAATGCTTATGTTTTATTTAACCGCTTACCCCTATATTTAATAAAAATAAACTAAAATTGATGTTTTTGCAAATTGTGGGAAAAAACTCAAATTAACGGCGTCAATTAAATGACAAAAAAAATGGCGAAAATGATGATTTTGCTCATTTTTATTGTAATAATATTATACCGTATATAATAATTGTATACCGGTCCTGTCTGCGAGTCGTGATGCGAGATCGTCCTCCATGTCGCTCGGCCACGCTGCCCGTCATGCGATAGCGCGTCCAGACGCGACTTATGACGCTCTGTGTAGTGTTAAGAGTGAAAGCCACAGCACGTTGTCTGGAACCAGCTTCCAACATTCCGACGGCTCGCATCATCACTTCTCGGGTTAAATGATGTCGTCTCTCTATAATAATGTAAATTGTTTCGGTTCCGATGCAGATATTGTAATGATTTTGTCAAAACGCTATAACTCATTTTTATACAAAACCACATTGACAATCGATTTTCTTCTTATTATCGAATTTTAAACAATATTCCTTATTTAAATGTTAAAACTCACTAAAAAGTATCAATAGCGATACAAAAAAGTTAATATAATTAACCCTAATTGCAGCAATACTCTTAAACGTACTTGATCCCTAGACACTTTTGATGTGTGTATTATAACCGATCTTGATTGATAATAATAAGAAAATATTTCGTGACAAACAAAACATTTAGTAGCCGTAGAGCTCCTCGAGAAAGAGTTCGTCCAGGGAAGTACTGCCACTTTACCTATTTCTGCCGCCAAGCAGTAATGTGAGCATTACCGCGTTCCGGTTTCGAAGGGTAAGGGTGCTGGTGAAATTATAGGCACATGAGACTTGTCAACTTATGAACCGGCGTGTCGCTTACCACCAGACGCACGACTTGTTCGTTCCGTCACTTGGTATTATAAAAACGAAAATAAAAAAAATATTACGCTGAAGAACTTTTGTAATCAACAGAGCAACTATCGGAAATCCGCAAAACGACTCTCGCCGGGGTGATTTGCGCGAACGAGGAACTGCTGGACCAGGCTCAACCCCGAGTCATGGAGACGGTCAGCGCTATAAACCCGCTGATGGACTGCAAGGAGCTACCGCAGCCCACGTGGGGGGCGTGGAAACAGACTGCTAGTAAAGTGCCTAAAACAAAAGCGTAAAGGACATTTTAATGAGTAATTCTTTTTGTACACTATATAGTATCTATACGTAACCAAGGAATACCCAATTCTACTCATTCCGCAACAATTATTGTAAAGTCCTAAACTGAATCTTGACAAAAAAATCAAATTTAATCAAGTTCAAAACGCTGTCCACGTTTCATATCGTCTGGTTTAGCAGGAATGGATGTAACTTAAAATCGTAATAGAAATAATGATAAATCATACCATATCAAGACGTAAATGATCCCTAACGAGTTCCTATGCTTTCGCGATTGCTAGACATCGGAAATCAAACTATTATTTCGGATCTAAAATCGAGTATGTAGTATTTGTTTTTTCTTGATTTGAATAATTCCTTTTCGTGAAAGTTATAATATAAGTTACGTATATTATCTAGTCCGACTCGGTTGGGCAGCTTTCGGGAAGCTCCGGGACGTCTTCTCGTCCGCAATACCGCAGTCCTTGAAGACAAAAGTCTTCGAGCAGTGCGTGTTTCCAGTGATGACCTACGGCTCTGAGCCGTGGTCACTTGCTATGGACCTCATAAAAAAAGCAAAGTCACTCAACGACCTATGGAGCGAGCAATGCTTGGTATTTCTCTACGTGATCCAATTAGAAGAACGAAAGTCACCGGCATATCTCGAAGGATTAGCAAGTTGAAGCGACGTTCTTGAAAGGAGACCACGAACCGGAAGGCGTTCAGCAGGACTTCCCCCTACTAGATGGATGGATGACCTGGTAAGGACGGCGGGTAACCGATGCACGTTGCGTCCGGTAGGCTGGTCTGGAAGTCTTTGGGGGAGGCCTATGTTCAGCAGAGGACGTCTTCCGGCTGATATGATGATGATGATGATATTATCTAGTGTTTTAAGAGAGAGAGATATTAAGAGAGAATTGGTTTGTAAAATGTCCGTGCAAAATTTCATGAAAAACATAGAATTTACAGGCACATGGGACTTGCCAACTTATGTCTCAAGGTGCGGGCGCAGAGGCAGTGCCATTCACATCTATGCGATTTACAGCTCTGAGTGGCACGGCAACTATTACAGGACAGGCGATATTGTTAAAAAAATAAAAGAAAATATTTAAGTATCTGAATATTCTGAAAAATTATTCAACCTTGTACCTCCCTCCACTTTTCTACATCGAAGCACGCGTGCTTGCTTCTGTAGTCAACTTCACAACTTGCCACATTCCATCGCGAACTAAAATGTTTAGTGACACCTTTTTCTGTCGCACACTCGTCAAATGTAACTCCCTTCCACCGCACGTATTCCCTCCATCTTACGATTTGTGTGTCCTTCAAACCCCTTCAGTACAATCGAGGCATGAAAAGGCATCTTGTGGGCATGCAGGGTGGAGGTGGCTAGGGCAGGGATTGTGACAACACTTTCCATTTTCCATTTAAAAAAAGATCATAATATTTCGCACCATATTTCTCGTGATGTCACCAGAAATGTGTTGCCCTAAAGGTACTCCTCTGAGAAACACCTCAAAGATTTATAAAGTTACAATTTAGCACCTAATTAATTATCCACAAAATCGCGTTTGCTTTGTCGTCCACCGGCATCGTTACTGCGGCCGATCACCTTTGTCTTTCATTCATTATTACGGACATAATTGAAGGTAATTCCTCATTTTACGTCATAATGCTCTTCACACGTAAGAACACTCGATCGTCCTCGTTTGAAAACAAATTTTGTACAATATTACGTCATATACAACGTAATACGTATAATATTATAATACAACTGTGTTAAAAATGTTCTCCATCTATAATTTTGCATTGAAAAAATTTGCTTACAAACCCAACGTGACCGTTATTTTTTCCGGAACGGGACGCCGTTTCATTTATTCTTGTTTTAAAAATAAAACACATGTTTATGATAGGTACAAAATGTTTAATGATTAAAAAAAAATAAAAAAAAAGAACTAAAAAAGTTTAACGATCAATCTTGAGTAGTCTGGTTTTAATTATATTTTTCGCTTTCGCGCCGTTATTTTTAAAAGTCATGTCACGAATATCCTCTTTAGTCAAAGCGGGACGTTGTTAAGCATTTTAGGGACAGCGGGACATGAAGCTTAAAAAGCGGGACACGTAGCTTAAAAGCAATATTGTCCTGCTCAAAGCGGGACGTATGGTCACGTTATATAAGCCGAAAGATAATCCAGATAGGTAAGTCCATGAGTTAAGTATGTCAAAATCATCATAAGTTAATATTATTAGTTACGTGATAAATAGTTTTATGTACGGGCAACGGCACATCAGACTACACATTTTTGTTCGAAAATCGCCTCCAGTGCAACGGAACAAGATACGTCAATGTGTAGCTTGGTGTGCTGGCGTGTATGTAAAGTCAACCGGGCTAAATGCATCTTGGGAAATTCCATCTTTTGAAATGCAAATGAAGTCACATAGCGATTGACCAAGACGACGACGTCGCTTAATGTACAAGTGAATTAATTAATTGATTAAACCATAACGTCATTGTTAAAGAACTATAACAATGACGTGATAATATTATGGGAATGGGCGTTACAAATCGTATATAGTTGTTGAAACTATATATTGTGGCAATATCGAAAATCCGATATCGTACATCTTAGTAACTATTTATCGATATTACTCCGCATCGCGTATTTTATAGCGATTCCGAAACACGAAATCACATATTTTCCAAACTATATACCGATATTGCTTCGTATCAGATTTTCACTATATATTCACAGAGTGGATATCAACGCGAAACCGTTTTTTGTGCGTTTTCGAAACTGTATACTAACATTGGCCCGCATTACTCTTGTAAAACTATATCCAATAATATATAGTTTTGAAATCTGTTTCCGCAGCACAGGCAATGTATCAACGCAGCTCGTTTTTAGAGCGTAGTTTCAGAAAATATATAGTTTCGAAATCCGATTTCGAATATTGATATATAGTTTCGATACGACATTCAGAAGAAGCTATATTACCCATTCCTATAATATTATACATCTAATTAAATATAAAGTTCGTTTAGAAATCACATTCATGAGTAATTTGTAAACAATTAGTGTTGGGTCATGGAAAAAATTCCAATTCAACTTAATTCAAATATATTCAAATACAGTAGACACTTTAAAATACATGGTGATAAATAAAATTATAGTGACCCTCTTAGATATTGGGTCTACGAAGTAAATAATTAAATGAGTAGAACCTAAGAATCATATGTATACAATTTATAATGTTTTTAGCTAACATTATGTCTAACATCACTATTGTAATTATATTCATTACGTCATCAATATACAAATAAATATATTGAGTCTCTAAACTAAAATTATTTTGATTAAAACACGTAGGGAAAGGGTGTACGAGATGATCCTTGGAGGTAAGATGATCCTTTTCAATTGTAGCGAAACCAGTAACGTCATCTAGATATTTTCTTCAGTAAAATGTAGCCCTCAATGTGCCCTCTTAACAGTCAATTCGTAATAGCGATGTGAGTGATGAGTTCATTTTTGTGGAAAAAAAAAACAAAAATTGTGTGAGTTTGATCTAAGGTAAAGTTGATTAAAAGCTTAGGCAACTTCCATTCTAAGCAATCAATTGCTAAGATTTTTTTGTTGGTGACTTTGTATAATGCTCTATTTACTTTTTTAATGGCGTGGTAACAGTAGACAATATACAGGTTATTTTGCCAAACAAAAAATAAAAATAAGTATATTAGGGCAAGATGGTTATGGTTTTGGTGTGCAAGATGATCCGTGTGGATCATCTTGTACTGTATATATTGTTAATGGACCATATTTAATTTGTATGTTTTTCTGAGTACTGAAACCTCTTAATTAAATAGCTTGCAATACAAATAAAATAGTAGAAGACTGGATTTCGTTTACATAATCGATCTCAATTAATAACAAATATAAATGCTTTTTCTTGTTTTAGACCAGGCCGCGTAATTGTAAAAGAAAAACCATTCGTGGTGAGTGGTCGAAGACTATGATATAAAGACCTAGAGGCGTAAAAAGTATGACGTCACATAAATCGGCAAGTAAATAGTTAGCAGTAGGTACGCGTTATGTCATTGAAAAGACGGGCTAAAGGTGAAAATAAAGGGTCTGTTAGTTCAATGAAATATTTAGGTGAAATAAAACTGTTTTCATCAGATGTGTTAAACAGGAAATCGAGCTCGTAAAGTACATTAAAGAAATGGAGACGATGATGTATATCAACTTGCCATAAAAAACAATGTCGCCCACCCTTAGATACCTGTAAGATATGAATTAATTAGGATTATTTGTTCTCGAAGTTCCGTAACCGTTGTTTCATAAACCTAGATTACATAAGTGAGGACTTTGTTAAGTCTAAAAAGTTGTTGTTTTCATTTGTTTCTACCAAAACCTAGAAATTTTCCTAAATAGAGGCAAGGTGATTCCCTGGTTCATCTTACCCATACCCATAGTAGTTTATATATTATTAGTGCCCATACCTTTAGTAGGGTTTTAAAAATATTCAAGTATAATAATGAAAGGTCAAAAAACGTTTTTAGTAAGACAACATGTAAGTAGATAAATTTTCTATCATTCAACGCTTTTACGTCTGCTTTAAGCTGAATATCTTTTAAACTTCCACCATTCTCCCTAAGGGGATCATCTGGTACACCTTTCCCCTAATTAAAAATAACAAATTACAGCATTTAAATATTCACCTATACATAGAGTAAAATATTTCATTATCAAGGTATTCAAATAAGTTTGTTTTGTTTACTCTATTAACTAATTTCTTTTTTCCATTTTGAAATAAATCATTTTTTCAGATAAATAAATTTTCTTCAAAAATTCTCTGAATATTTTTCCATATTTCCATATTTAACAGTGACACCTGTCAAAAGTTGAAGATACTGAACTCTATTATGACATAGGAATGAAACTATTTTTCCGGATTTAAATCGCGTATATTTGTTTTTTCAAACAAACCGACGTTTCGGGCCCTTTACAGGTCCCATGGTCACGGTTGACAGTCAACGGTTGACAGTCAACAATTTAAATCCGGAAAAATAGTTTCATTCCTATGTATAACAATCGCGAAAACCTAAGAACTCTATTATGACAATTTACGAAAATAAGCCAAGCAGGGTTTAGTAAATTACATTTAGCAATGTTCATACAATTATATTTTATAACTCATGCTAAACAAAACATTAAAAGATATTTCTAAACGTAGCACACGACATGAGTATTCGAATTATATTTTTACAACTTTTCAATTTGTCAGAAAATTTTCGTGAAAATTTCCACTATTTGAAGTTTTCCGGTTGTGTTGAAAAAGACAACGATACACATGAGTGTAATTTCTAAACGAATGTCACTTTGACATAACCCCGAACGGAGGCAGAAATGGGCGCGAAGAACAGGAATACACATCTTACACTATGATTACAGTAAATTAAAGAAACAAAAAAAACTCAGTTTCAACATTCAAACCATATATTTGCATGTCGATAATGACTTATCGATAGATTATAGTACAACACTAAAGATATCCGCCATTCGTAACGTTAAATTTTTGTTTAGATATACACGTTCATTCTGTAGTTAGGGCAGCTCCTTTCCTTTATTTTTTTTCCATCCTCTAAAATACAATGAGAGAGTAGAGTAATTTTGGAATTAAGATGGCGAG